CCGGGGGGGGTTGGAGCTGACGGTCAGCCGGTGGCTGGGGGCTGTGCAGGTTCCCATGCCCAGCCCCCCCCAACAGGCTTCATCGGGTAACAAACACGGCAGAAAGCTGCCCTCGGCTACTCCGGTGGGGGGGAAGGCGGGGGGGGGGGGGTCGCCGTTGGCACGGAAACGCAGCGAAACAGCACGCAGGTTCCAGCAGCCCGGCTGATGTCACCGGCACTGGGACTCGCTCTGCCCGTCCCGGAGCCGCAGCCTGCGAGCTGTCCCGGTCTCGCACGCTAACCAGCCGACGCCTGCCGTGCTGCATGCGGTCCCTCCGGGCAGAGGTCGGCCAGCTCGTAGCCTCGCTCGGCAGCGCTGCGGCCTGCCCGCCCGGGCTGTGCCGGCCGTGCCCCACAGACTCCACTTCGGGCTGCCGGATCACACGCGGGCGCCCCGCCTTCGGAAGCGGCTGCTTCAGCCGCGGGGAAAGACGGCAGGCAAGCTGCGCCGGCTGCCATCGGCCCGGAGCGACGGCCTGGCCCGGCCCGGCCTCCCTCTCATTGGTCAGCGCCAGCGGCGCCGGCTCGTGGGGTCTGCGCAGGCGCTGCGGCCTGCCGGCACCGCGGCCACCTCCGACTCCACTTTGAGCTGCCGCAGCGTACGCGGGCGCCCCGCCTTCGGAAGCGGCCGCTTTAGCCGCGGGGAAAGGCGGCAGGCAAGCTGCGCTGGCTGCCATCGGCCCGGAGCGACGGCCTGGCCTGGCCTGGCCTGGCCCGGCCCGGCTCCCCTCTCATTGGTCACCACCCGCGCCCCCCCGCCCCCCGGCTCCCCTCTCATTGGTCAGCGCCGGCGCCCACCCGCCCCCAGCCTCCCTCTCATTGGTCAGCGCCAGCGCCGCCGGCTGTCTTCTCGGGAAAATGGCAGTCGGGTCCTCCACCTGCGGGGCAGCAGCTCAGCACAGCGCTGACGGCCATCTGAGCCGAGCGAGAACCGAAGGCGCCCGCCTGACTGTGTGCCGGGCTCAATCGCGTCTCGATCCGCGGGGTCGCTCCCTCACTTTCGGGACTGCTCGGCTCAGCCAGAAGCCGCTCTCGGACACCGGGCTAATCCCACCGCTCGCCGTCAGCGGCCGGTTCTGACAGCTCGGTGGCGCCCCGCCACAACGACGACTGCAGAGGACGGCTCGGTTCATAGGGGGACGGTCGGGGCCCCGAGGCACGGGGCGGGCGGCGGCGGGGACGCGGGAAGGGGGAGCGCTGCTTTCCCCGCACGGAGCCCCGCGGCCGCCATTGGCGGAGAGCCCGACGCTCGGCCCCGCCTTCGCCGCGCTGCCATTGGTCGGTCCGCGGGACGAGGCGGGCGCTCCGCGCGGGGTGCTTTCCGTCGTTGCGTCATCACCGCGCGCCTCGGCTGGCCCCGGCCCGGCTGCTCGCTGCGCTTCCGGGGCCCGCGCCTCCGGCTCGTTTTGCTCCGCGCGGCGTTCCTGCCGCTCTGCCCCCAGCCTGCAGCGATGCCTGGGGTTGTTGTGAGCGAAGTGCGGGACCGGCGAGTGGCGGTGTTGAGCCTCGTGCCGTTGGCGTCGGCCGTCGATCAGCCTGTGCGGACCGCTCTGCAGGGTCTTCGAATCCTTAGGCAGATAATAGCAGGATGCAGGAGCTGAGGGGCGATGGGAGGGAGGGGAGCGTCCTGCCGTGCCGCCGGCAGCCCGGGTACCGCAAGCTGTGGATCCTCCATCCGTCAGCACAGGAGCCGCGGTTCTGGCTGCAGCGGCAGGAACTCGGCGCAGCCTTGCACAGAGCGGACCGGCCGCAGGGGAAGATGATGGCCGTGGAGTGTGAGTGCCTCAGCGGTGTCTGCAGCCTGCGAGGAGCTGAGCGGGGCTGGGAAGAGGAAGGTGTGGGAGTGCTGGGGAGGGACGCAGAATGGCAGTGTCAGCGGCAGGCTCGGCTGCTTCTTCCTCCTCCAGAGCCCACTGTCACATCTGTGGGGTTCCACAGAACGCGCAGAAGTAAGGTAAGTTGAAGTTGGACAAACTTCTATACAGAAAGGGTTGTTAAGCACTGGAATGGGCTGCGCAGGGTGGTGGTTGAGTCACCATCCCTGGATGTGTTTAAAAACCATCTGGATGTGGTCCACGGGGCCATGATTTAGAGGAGGGAACAGCCTGGCAGGAGCAGTCCTTGGGAACAGCCCAGCAAGAAGGACGTGGGGGTCTTGATGGAAGAAAAGCTTAACATGAGCCAACAGTGTGCTCTTACAGCTGGGAAAGCAAATGGGATCCTGGGCTCCATCAGCAGAGGAGTGGCAGCAGGGACAGGGAAGTGATTGTCCCCCTCTGCTCTGCTCTCGTGAGTCCTCATCTGCAGCACTGCCTCCAGGTCTGGAGCCTGGAGCCCCAGAGATGATCGGGGGCTGGAGCAGCTCCCCTATGAAGACAGGCTGAGGGTGCTGGGCTTGTTCAGCCTGGAGAAAAGGCGGCTGCGGTGTGATCTCATTGCAGCCTTTCAGGACCTAAAGGGAGCCTACAAACAGGAGGGGAGTCAACTCTGAAAGGGTAGATAACAGCAGGACAAGGGGAAATGGCTTTGAGTTGAGGGAGGGAAGATTAAGGTTGGAAGTCAGGGGGAAGTTCTTTACAGAGAGAGTGGAGTGCGAAGACCAGAAGGAGTTGTGTTACTTTAGTTTGATGAGCTGCTGCATTTCACTGGACTATGATCACTGTGAGCAAAGTCTGTGAAGAAGGAACTGCTTTTCAGTTTGTGCCACTTTTTGCCCCCCTCGCTCTCTCTCACCCCATACGTCACCACGTGGACATTATCTGCTAATTGTGCTTTCAACGGTGATTTTCTTTCCCTTATGATCCTAACGCTGTGAATTTCCCAGTGGTTGCTGAGACAAAGGTGATCGTAAATACAGGTTTTAGCACTATTGCATCTAGGAATAGAAAATGCCCAATAGCTAATTGCGTTCTAATGCAAAAAAGAAAGCATAGTTCCTTTTTAATAAAGCAAAAAACAAAGTGTTTCTCCCCCTTCCATCCCTTCACCCTCCCCGCCCCCCAAAAAAAGGGACAAATCCTCAAACATTTATACTAAGTTAATATAGTGAGCAATGCAAAGTGAGCAAAGAGAACTTAATAATGTCTTTTTAATGTCTGTTTCCTTCCCAGATGGCCCTGAGACCTGCCATGTGCCTATGGAAATGGTGAGAGCGACTTCTGAGGCTGTGAGCGGTGGCTGATGAGAGAAGCTGAAGAGAGGAGCCTCCGAATTGAACTGACTGGTAAATCCAAGCCTCTTTGTTCTAACAAACACGTCTGACCCTTAATTACTGTAAGGGACCGATGTTTTCATGTGGCACCAGACAAGGCAGGGAAGCTCTAGGACTCGGTATGCTTGCTTTGGTGCTTCTCTCAGCCTGTTTTTGCCTTTCTGCAGTAGCCTAACATCCAAGGCAGGGACTTGCCAATAATCTTCTCGAGTCCAATGGCCTTAATGCTTAGACCTGCTCACTGCGGTGAATATAAATGATTTATCATGAGGCTGCACTTCTGAATTTTCACTTTCCTCAGTGAAGCTTCTCAAGCTGTGGTTCCCATCCCACTGAGAAAGTCTGCCCTTTGTGTTGCAGTGTGGGAAGGTACATGCAATGTCCATCTCTTCTGGAGCATTCCCCTTCCTGCTGCTGGCTGTTTCAGTCAGTGTCACTCTTGCTCTCTGGTACGGCACTGAAGCTTGAGAAATGGACCTTGGAGGGGGTGGGCTGGGAGGTGTGTGTCCGACACGAGTTTTTGCCCTGCTGTGCTTTTACAGTAGAATATAGGTTCTGCATGTGAAGTATTTCAGTAATATCTTGTTTCTGTTGTTACTGACATTCTGTATGGCCACGGCTTGATGAGAAACCGTGGAAAAAGGCATCATCTCCCAAGCTGAAGAGCCTGTTATATGCTATTGCTCATAGCATATAATGTGTAACAAGGCTAAGGGTTGTAGAGAGCTCTCCCAGCATGACTGTTCTTTTCAGTGAGGCTGCAGGCCGAAGGCTGAGAGAAATAAGCACCTGCCTTGAATTTTCGTATAGACTTTTTCCCTGGAGGGCTGCCAGAACCAATTGGAGCAATTTCCTTTGGCCAACCAAAGCCGTGGAGTTCAGTAATGGCTGTGGAAGATTTGTTTCTGTGTATGCGATTTGACATGTCGGCACATCCTCACTTCTCAACATGGCTTTTTACCTTTTGCTTTACAGATATGGAATGAAAGGGCATTTGATTGCAAATGGATCAAGGTGTGTCTGTTTTCCTTCTGAAAAGTGAAATATGCTGCTGAAGTTTCCTTGTTATCACACGTGCTTTGCTTGTCTGCTTTTCTCCAGAGCAGAGACCTTCATCCTGTGCCTGCTTGGCTTCCTGACCTCTTATGGTAGCTGCAGGCACGAAGCACTAAGAGGAGCACAGGAGCAGATCCTGAGGTGTTTGGGGTTTGTTATTATCTGAAGCTGGTAAGTAAGTGTATGCTACATAGGAAGCTGCAGTTGAACTGCACAGATTCATCTTCTGACTGGCTGGCAAACAGCTGATTTTATAAGTCAGAGATCTGGAATTCCTTCAGATTCTCCAGTGACGTTCCAACGGATACGATGCCCTTAAATTGTTGGTACACAGCTCCAGGTTTTTGTTACATGTTCAGATCTGCCTTTTGCACAAAGTAAGAGCTCTGTGTTTTAACATCATCAAGTTAATCT